AATCACCGCAAACGTATTTGTTTTAGGGATAATTAATGATCCATTGATTATTTCTCGCTGACCGAACTTTTCCTTTAAGAGAATGAAACCAATTCCTCTTTAAACGGACGGTTCTGATTCACCAACAGAGAGAAGGAATCTGTAGACTGAGAAGAACCGCAGAGGCAAGTCCAAACGGACCGGATCAGAGACTTTAATGGTCTGAGCTTTTGGTTCGGGTTCCATCAGCTCTGGTCTGCAGGGGGCAGCACTCAGAGCTGTACACACGCATCAGAACCACTGACTGGTTCCACTTCCAGAACCATTCGGATCATCTGGGTGAGCTGGTTTCATGTTAGAACCAAAACCAGAAACGGGTTCTAGTGTGGAAGAAACCCAAACGGTAACCCGGATGAATGCGAATTAGTCCGGACCTTAATGACCAACCACGGAACCACCAGGTCCAAACCCAATCAGCTCATCCCTGTGGGGAATCTATGGACCAGATGCAGGAATCCGACCCGTTTAAAGAAGCTCTACTAGTTCTGCTCCAAAGACCGGTCCAATATTGGTCAAGGTGTATGTAAAGTTCAGACCCAGATTGGATCAGAGGAAATGGACGGTAAATTGAAACCAGAGGGGTTCTAGTGAATCATGAACGGGTCAGAGTACGTCTGAACTTCAGGATCGGATCGGAACCTTTCCCAGCTGAATCAGGAACCGGAGCCGTCAGGACCGGTCAGGGAGGAGGAACGTAACTTTTTATCGGATCGGAACCCCATAAAACAAACGTATTTACATGTTACAGAAACAATATGGCTGAAGAAGTGGCGCAGCAGCAAGCAGAGGGGCGTGGCCAATCACAGTGAGTGGGCGGGGCTAAGGGAAAGTGCCCTGTAACCAGAGGAGGCCTCCGATTGGCTGAAATCTCAACAAAAATATAATCTCAATATTTCTAAATAATTTTAAGTTTTTTTTCTTTCAAAGTGCAAAAGTCCGATGGACCGCTGGTTCTGTCGGAACCAGGAGGATTCGTGTCGGGTTCGGATGAAACGGACCAGAATCTTCCTGGTTCCGGGACACGGTACCACCGCAGCTAACGGCTCGTCGCTGCAGCCGACCAGCACCAGGGTTCTGGACGCGGTCCGGGGGAATGTGGGCTTGGATCTAAAGTGGACCTCACAGAACCGGTGAGGTTCTAGTCTGGTTGAACAAGATCTAGATTCTAGTTGATCCAAACTAGATTTCTGTGACCCGGTTTCTCCTAAAGTAAGGCGATAAGTATCGGCATCGATATGTTTCTGACCCAGACGGTCCCGGGTGAACCCGATCCAGACTGCGGTTTGGATCGCCGGTTCTGCAGGCTTTCTGAAAGGTTCAGTAGAACCGGGTTCAGGGCGGTCCGGTAACGCTACGCCTCAGACGTTTGGACCGCAGTCAGTTTCCATCCTTTCAGCCGTTTGGTTCTGAGGTGAGGGAACTGGACCCTGAAGCAGAACCGGACCGCCCCATTCTCCTCTCAGAACAAAAAAGGGTGTAAAACCAACCAGAGAGTTCTGGAGGATCAACTGTTAGTGGGCCGAGCCTCACCTGGTTCAGAACCACAGGACTGTAGATCAGTTTTTCTAACATTTTCAAAATAAAAGCTCCTGATTAACTTCCTGTTCTCAGTAAAGACCGAAGCCGAGCCCAGACTGCGTGTTCTGGTCGGGCTGCCGGGTTCTAATAACGTCAGGCGGGGCAGAAAGCCGGGTCTCTGTTTGAATCGAAGGTTCTGATCCGTCTGGATCAGCGGGTGACCTAGTTTTCAGCAGAGCAGTAAGAGAGGAGAACCGGCCTGCGGACTTCCTGGGCTGCTGCCGGGCCTGTTCTGGAGGGGGAAACAGAACCAGTTTGTCAGGCAGAACCTGCTCTAGGCGGGTTCTGAAATGGCACTTAGAACTGCAGGAACCCGGTGATCTGCTGAGGCGTCGCAGTCAGAACCCCGTTGGACTCCATGGCTGAGTTCCTGTTAAAGTGGCTGATGGGCCGGGTCGGGTCGGGCCGGGTCGGCGCCCAGAGCCGACTGCATGCATAAGAAAGCTCCTCGAAGCGCTGCTGGTTGGGGTCGGAGGCGCTCCGGCACCACGCTGAGGCGCTGACAGGAATCAGAATCCATCTTGACCTCCGACCTTTGACCTCAGCTCTGGGTGGGTGGGGTAGGAGGGGGGAGGGGCGGCACCGTTCACTTGAGCCGGTCGGACCGGAACGAGTCCTCCACGGCCGGGTCGGCCAGCATCAGGTCCCCCTCCAGCATGTCCAGGGACAGCGGGTCCATCCGGAGCTGCTCGTCCAGAGAGAACGGGTCCATCTCGAAGCCCGGCACGTGGGACAGAGCGCTGGCGATCTCCTTGGACAGGCCTGTGGGAGAGTCCCCTGGGGCGGGGCGGTACCACAGAACACAGATCAGGTCTTCAGACCAAACTACTGGCGAATGGATGAAAGGAGCGGTTCTGTTGGGCCGGTACCTGTGAGGATGATGTTGGGAACGTGCTGCCGGCCGTCGCCGCTGTAGTTCTGGTTCTGGTTGTTGAGCTGCTGCTGCTGCTGGTCCCCGGGTTCCTGCAGATCCAGGGGCCCCTGGCTGTTGGAGGGGTACTGGTTCTGGCCCAGTCCGCAGTGGTTCTGGCTCAGTCCGCTGTGGTTCAGGGAAAGACCGTCTGCTGGGTTCTCAGCTGTGAACTGGAACAGAGGAGAACGGGTTTGGTTAGCTGGGTCGGGTAATTCTAATTTAATGCTCTTTGAAATACGTTTAATGGCATCAACAAATACCCATGACACTATATATACACATATATATATATATATCTATATATATATATAGATATATATATATATAGATATATATATATATATATATAATCCTTTGTCATCTTTACCATCAAGAGGCTGCAGCCATGTCTCCCGATTTCCTTGTTTTTCAGCAACTTTTGTTTAAACTTGCGTTCTCCGATTCTGTAGCTTTTTCTCCGTCTAGAGCTTCTTTTTCAAACATACGATTTTACGATCAACCGGAAGCAGTCCCGCGCAAACACGCGGAACCCGTTATGTACAACGCAGCATGTGGGCCAGGCTAGAGATTGTTTTTTTTTACATTTTGAGAATAAAGTCGTAACATTAAGAGAATAAAGTAGTACAATTATGAGATTAAAGTCGTAATATTACGAGAATAAAGTAATATTATGAGAAATAAGTCACAAGAATGTCAAAAAATTACGAGAATAAAGTCGTAACTTTACAAGAATAAAGTAATGAAATTATAAGATTAAAGTCGTAATATTACAAGAATAAATAGTATTATGAAAAATAAGTCACAAGAATGTCATAAAAATTATGAGATTAAAGTCGTAATAGTACGAAAAAAAAGTAATATGAGAAATAAGTCACAAGAATGTCAAAAAAATTATGAGAATAAAGTGGTAACATTACGAGAATAGAGTCGTTACAGAACAAGAATAAAGTCGTAACAATATGAGAATAAAGTAATAAAATTACAAGATTAAAGTCGTATTTTATTACAACTCCTACAAGAATCACTTTCTTCCGTAAAATGAGGAATGTGGAGCATCATGTGAAGTTCTACTTTAGCATCGGTTTGACTAATCAGGAAATCTTTTAGCAGCAGCATCAAA